AACATTCGCATCATAGGAGTCTCCGAACAGGAAGAAAATGGGCAAGGTTTAGAGAATATATTTGAAGAAATAGTGACAGAAAACTTTACTACTATGGTGAAGAAAGAAGGCATTCAAGTTCATGAAACACAGACAGCCTCAAGTAAGACTCTTCCAGCAAACAAAAGCCCAGGCCCGGACGGCTTCATGAGGAATTTTACCGAACATTCAAAAAAGAATTCTCTGCAACAAGATGGCACACTTCATGGTGGAGGGGACTAAGTTCTGGAGCCTGCTCCTCAACGTGCTCCAGGTAACCCGACACCTGCCCACCCTGCCCCCGGGATATTACTAGAGAGAGGGCTGTGAATTCTGACCACGCTGAACTTTTCCCAAGTTCCACCCTTGCCCGATTAATTATAGAAAACAAAAAGGGACTCAACGGGAAAGGGGTGAGTGGCCAGAAAAAATAAAAAAGAACAAAAAAACAAAGAAGAACTAATACCCATTCTCCTCAAACTATTTCAAAAAATTCATGAAGAAGGAAGACTTCCAAACTCGTTTTATGAGGTCAGCATAATTCTAATTCCAAAACCAGAATAAGAAACTACAAAGAAAGAAAACCACAGGCCATAATCCCTGATGAATGTAGATGACAAAATCCTGAACAAAATATTAGCAAGTGAAATCCAGCAATACATCAAAAAAATTATTCAACATGACCAAGTGGGATTCATCCCAGAGATGCAAGGCTGGTATAATATTCACAAATCAATAAATGTGATACACCACATAAACAAAATGAAAGATAAAAATACTATAAAAATATCAATAGACACTGAAAAAGCATTCGACAAAATTCAGCATCCATTTCGATAAAAACGCTCAGTAAAAAGACCTATTTGCAGAAAACTACAGGTCATGAAAAAAAGAAATAGGGGAAGATATAAAAAAGTGGAAGCACATACTTTGTTCATGGACTGGAATATTTAACATCATTGAAATGTCCGTATTACCCAAAGCAATCTATATATTCAATGGCATCCCCATCAAAATACCAATGACATACTTCACAGAACTAGAATAAATATTTCAAAAATTCTTATGTAAACAAAAAAGACCTCAAATAGCCACAGCAATCTTGAAAAAGAAGAACAAAGTTGGAGGGATCACATTACAGATTTCAGGTTATACTACAAAGCCACAGTAATAAAAACAGCCTGGTACTGGCAGAAGAACAGGCACATAGACCAGTGGAACAGAACAGCGAACCCAGAAACGAACCCAAGGCAATATGCTCAATTAATATTTGACAAAGGTGGCAAGAGCATACAGTGGAGTCAAGACAGCCTCTTTAATAAATGGTGTTGGGAAAATTGAACAGCCACATGCAAAAAAATGAAACTAGACCATCAACTTACAGCATACACTAGAATAAACTAAAAAGAGATAAAAGACTTAAATGTGACTCATGGATCCATAAAAATCCTAGAAGAAAATGTAGGCAACAAAATTTCACAAATCATACGCAGTAGAATTTTCACTGACACATCACTTAAGACAACAGAAACAAAGGAGAAAATGAACACATGGGACTACATCAAACTCAAAAGCATCTGCACAGCAAAAGATACAATCATAAAAATGGAAAGGCAACCCACTGTATGGGAGAGCATAATTTCCAATGATATATCACATAAGGTGTTAATTTTCAATATATATAGAGTGCTCGTACAACTCAACAAAAGGAAAACAAAGAACCCAATTAAAAAATGGGCCCAAGGCCCTGGCCCTTTTGGCTCAGCGGTTAGAGCGTCAGCCTGCGGTCCTGAGAGACCCGGGTTCGGTTCCCGCTAAGGGCGCGTACCTCAGGTGCAGTTTGTCCCCAGCCCTGGTTGGGTTGTGTGGGTATGTGTTCTTTTCACGTCAATGTTTCTCTCTCTCCCTCTATTCCTCTCTCTCCCTCCCACTCTACCTGAACAAAAAATGGAAAAATGTCCTCCGGTGAGGATTAATAAAAAAAAAAAAAAAAAAAAAAAAATGGGCCCAGGAACTAGACACCTCTACAAACAGGATATAAGACATCTGAAGGAATGCTCAACATCACTAATCATCAGAGAAATGCAAATTAAAACAACGAGGTATCACCTCACACCTGTCAGAATGGCCGCCATCAACAAATCATCAAACAGCAAGTGTTGGTGAGGGTGTAGAGAAAAGGGGACTCCAGTACAGTGTTGTGGGAATGCAGACTGGTGCAGACACTATGGAAAACAATATGGTGTTACCTCAAAAAATTGAACTCCCATTTGATCCAGTGATCCCAATTCTAGGTATATAATCTAAGAACCCTGAAACACCAATCAGAAAGAATATATATACCCCCATGTTCACAGCAGCACTATTTACAATAGCTAAGATCTGGAAACAACCCAAATGTCCATCAGTAGACGAATGGATAAAAGCAGTTCTACATATACACAATGGAGTACTAAGCAGCTGTAAGAAAGATCTCTTATCCTTTGAAACGACATAGAGGGACCTGGAAAGTATTATCCTAAGTGAAACAAGCCAAATAGAGAAAGACAAGTATCATATGATCTCACTTATTTGTGGAATACAATGAACATAATAGTCTGAGGAATGGAAGAGTCCTAGAGATGTGGAAGTGGGATACAGACTGACAATCCCCAGAAGAGAGGTTGCTGGGGGAGAGATAAACCACAAAACTTATATGCATGTATGCATGAACAATGAACATGGACAATAAAGCTGGGGACAGGGCGGGGAGGGGGAGTTAGGGGGGAATCAGTGGGGGAATAAGGAGAGACATCTGTAACAGAAATCAATTAATTAATAAAAAGAAATGTAGCCCTGGCCAGTTTGGCTCAGCGGTTAGAGCGTCGGACTGCGGTCCGGAGAGACCCGGGTTCGGTTCCCGCTAAGGGCACGTACTTCGGTTGCAGTTTGTCCCCGGCCTTGGTTGGTCGTGCGGGTGGCAGCCACTCGATGTGTCCCTTCACGTCGATGTTTCTCTCTCTCTCTCTCCCTCCCACTCTATCTGTACAAAAAATGGAAAAATATCCTCGGGTGAGGATAAAAAAAAAATAAAAAATAAAAAAATAAGAAGAAATGTATAAAAACCACTGTGCTGTACACCCAAAACTAATGTAATATTGAACGTCTACTGTAATTGAAAAATAAAAAATAAAAATAAAAAAAGAAGGAAAGAAATAGAAAAAAGATACAAAAACAAATGGAAGGATGCAATGTACTTATAAATAGGAAGAATTAACATTGTTAAAATGTCCAAACTGCACAAAGTAGTCTATATTTTCAATGCAATTCCTATCAAAATACAAACGGTGTATTTCAGAGAACTAGAATAGTGCAAAAATTTATATAGAACCACAAAAGACCTCAAATAGGCACTGACAACTTGAGACAAAGACAATCTATTCAATAAATTGAGTTGGGAAAATTGGACAGATAACATGCAAAAAAGTAAAATTAGACCACCTTCATACACCATATACGACAATAAACACCAAACAGATTAAAGACTTTAATATAAGACTTGAAACCATAGAATTCCTAGAATAAAAAATAGGAAAATCTATGAGATTTCTCTTAGAAATATTTTTTCCTGATATATCTCTTTGGACAAGGGAACCAAAATATAAATAAATAAATAAATAAATAAATAAAAAATAAGACTACATCAAACTGAAAAGGTTTTGCACAATAAAGGAAACCCTCAACAAAACAAAAAGACAACCCACTGCATGGAGAAGATATTCAGCAATGATAAATCTGATAAATCAGATAAAACTGATAAGCAGTTAATATCCTAAATGTATAAGGAACTCATATAACTTGACACCTAATAAAGAAAACAATCCAATTTAAAAATGGGCAGAGGACCTGAACAGACACTTCTCCAAAGAGGACATAGAGATGGCCAATACACAAATGAAAAGATGCTCAACATCACTAATCATCAGAGAAATACAAATTAAAACCACAATGAGATATCTCACCTCACACCTGTCAGAATGGCAATCATCAATAAATAAAAAAACAAGTACTGGTGAGGATGTAGAGAACAGGGAACCTTTGAGCACTGTTAGTGGGAATGCAGATTGGTGCAGCCACTATGGAAAACATTGTGGAGGCTCACCAAAAAATTAAAAATGGAACTGCTTTATGACCCAGCAATTCCACTTCTGGGTATATATCCGAAGAAACCTAGATCACTAACTCAAAAAGAATATATGCACCCCTTTGTTCCTTGCAGTGTTATTTAAAATATTCAAGCTACGGGAGCAACCCAAGTGCCTATCAATAGATAAGTGTACAAAAAAGCAGTGGTACATATACACAAGAAATATTATGTGGCTATCGAAAATGAAATCTTACCACTGGCACCAACATGGATGGACCTAGAGAGTATTATGTTAAGTAAAATAAGTCAGATAGTGAAAGACAAATATTATTATGACCTCACTTATATGTGGAATCTAAAAAAAACAAAATAAACAAACAAATGAAACAGAAACAGACTCATAGATACGGAAAATAAACTGATGGTTTCCAGAGGGAGGGGGTTGTGGAGCTGCATAAAAAAGTAAAAGGATTAAGATTACAAAATAGTCACTGGGATATCAAGTACAGCATAAGGAATATAGTCAATAATATTTTAATAACTATGTACGGTGCCAAGTGGGCACTTGAAATATCGGGGTGGGGGGTGTCACTCTGTAAAGTATATCATTGTCTAACCACTATGCTGTAAACCTGAAATTAATATAAAATAATACTGAATGTCACAAAAATAAAAGTCAATCATTTGTATTTATATACAGTTGGCAAAATATTAATTATATTACCTGGGGAAAATATTCAGATTGCTCTTCTGGATTAAATGGTTTGTTTTAATTTTGATGAGAAAATATTTGATGATGTTATTTCTCATTTTAGTTTTGTTTAATAAAAGTGTGTTCCAGTTCTCCATTACTTACATCAAAATAGATGAATTATCCTTATCTGAGAGTTCTATTATCTCAATGTCTTCACTGGTTTCTTGTACAGTTAAAAGTTCCTGCAGAAAAAAAAGACATTTTAGATACTTAAAATGTACTTATAGAATAAAAACACCTGACACCTTTGTAGAGCAAATAGTAAATTCAAAAGCAACCTCATATCCAATGTCACAATTAATCTGCATAGCAATGTAGAAAGGCACTGGATTTTACAGATGAGGAACTGAAAGTTACAAAGAAATAATGATTTGGCCTAAGACACACAGCTTTGATCTAGGGTCAAAGTAGATCCATTTCAAAGTTAAACTCTGAGTTCACTGCTATTCCCACTGTACTACACAGCCACACTGTGAAATAAATATTCCTCCTTTTCAAAAAGCACTTTGTTCTTATAAAATCTGTTCTTAAAAATGACCACTGAAGAAAAATAGAACCACACTAAACAAAAATGGCAATAAATAAGTACATATCAATAATCACCTTAAACGTAAATGGATTGAATGCTCCCATAAAAAGACACAGAGTAGCTGATTGGATAAGAAAGCATGACTCATCTATATGTTGTTTACAAGAGACCCACCTCTCAACAAAAGACTCACATAGGTTGAAAGTGAAGGGATGGAAAAAAATTTTCCAAGCAAATGGAAAGCAAAAAAAAGCTGGGGTAGCAATTCTCATATCAGATAAAATACATTTCAAAATGAAGACCATAACTAGAGACAAAGAAGGCCACTACATAATATTGAAAGGTTCTATCCAACAGGAAGATATAACCTTGATAAACATATATGCACCCAATATAGGAGCAACAAAATATATTAAAAATCTTCTGGAGGACTTCCAATGAGAAATCGACAACAATACAATCATAGCAGGGGACTTCAACACCCCATTGACAGCACTGGATAGATCCTCTAGGCAAAAAATTAGCAAGGAAACAGAGACTCTAAATGAAGCACTAGACCAAATGGATTTAATAGATATCTACAGAGAATTACACCCCAAAACTACAGAATACACATTCTTCTCAAGTGCACATGGGACATTCTCAAAGATAGACCACATGATAGGACACAAACTAATCTCTACAAGTTCAAGAAGATTGAAATCATATCAAGGATCTTCTCAGATCACAATGGCATGAAACTAGAAATCAATTGCAATAAGAACATGTAAAGACATTTCAACACATGGAGGCTAAATAGCATGTTATTAAACAATGAATGGGTCACCGAGGAGATCAAAGAAGAAATTAAAAACTTCCTGGAAAACAATGAAAATGAACACACAACAACACAAAATCTATGGGATGCAGCGAAAGCAGTTCTGAGAGGGAAGTTCATAGCACCACAGGCCTACCTCAATAAACAAGAAAAATTTCTAATTGACTGTCTAACCTCACAACTTAAAGAATTAGAAAGCAAACAAAAAGAAAACCCCAGAGCAAGTAGAAGGAAGGAAATAGTAAAGATCAGAGCAGAAATAAATGACATAGAGACCAGAAAAAACAATTCAAAGGATCAATGAAACAAAGAGCTGGTTTTTCGAAAAGATAAATAAGATTGATGGACCCTTAGCTAGACTCACCAAGAAACAAAGAGAGAGAACCCAAATACACAAAATCAGAAATGAAAGAGGAGAAGTAACAACCAACACCACGGAAATACAAAAGATCGTTAACAACTACTATGAACAACTATATGGCAACAAATTCGACAATCTAAGCGAAATGGACAAATTTCTAGAAACACACAGTCTCCCAAAACTATTCCCGGAAGAGATAGAAAACTTGAACAGACCAATAACAACTAAGGAAATTGAAGAAGAAATCAAGACTCTCCCAGCAAACAAAAGCCCAGGCCCAGATGGCTTCACGGGGGAGTTTTACCGAACATTCAAAAAAGAACTAACACCCATTCTCCACAAACTCTTTCAAAAAATTCAAGAAGAAGGAAGACTTCCAAACACGTTCTATGAAGCCAGCATAATTCTAATTCCAAAACCAGAAAAAGACACTACAAAGAAAGAAAATTACAGGCCAAAATCCCTGATGAACATAGACGCCAAAATCCTGAACAAAATATAAGCAAATCGGATCCAGAAATACATCAAAAAAATTATTCACCATGACCAAGTGGGATTCATTCCAGAGATGGAAGGCTGGTACAATATTCGCAAATCAATAAACGTGATACACCACATACACAAAATGAAGAATAAAAACCACATGATCATATCAATAGATGTTGAAAAGGCATTCGACAAAATCCAGCATCCATTTCTGATAAAAACGCTCGGCAATGTAGGAATAGAGGGATCATATCTCGATATAATAAAGGCCATTATATGAAAGACCTACAGTCAACATCATACTAAATGGACAGAAACTAAAAACGTTTCCATTAAGAACAGGAACTAGACAGGAATGTCCACTTTTGCCACTCTTATTTAACATTGTACTGGAAGTCTTAGCCACAGCAATCAGGCGTGAAGAAAAAATAAAAGGGATCAAAATTGGAAAGGAGGAAGTGAAACTGTCATTATTTGCAGATGACATGATATTGTACATAAAAAACCCTAAAGACTCCATCAAAAATCTATTAGACTTAATAAATGAGTTTGGCAAAGTAGCAGGATACAAAATTAACGTCAAGAAATCGACGGCATTCTTGTACACCAATGATGAACTCACAGAAAGAGAAACTGAAAAAACAATCCCATTTACCATCGCGCCAAAAAAATTACGATACCTAGGAATAAACTTAACCAAAGAAGGAAAGGACCTATTTGCAGAAAACTACAGATCATTGAAAAAAGAAATAGAGGAAGATATAAAAAAGTGGAAGCACATACCCTGTTCATGGATTGGAAGAATTAACATCATTAAAATGTCCATATTACCCAAAGCAATCTATAGATTCAATGCAATCCCCATGAAAATACCAACGACATATTTCATAGAACTAGAACAAATACTTCAAAAGTTCATATGGAACCAAAAAAGACCCCGAATAGCCACAGCAATCTTGAAAAAAAAGGACAAAGTAGGTGGGATCACAATACCAGATATCAGGTTATACTACAAAGCGACTGTAACCAAAACAGCCTGGTACTGGCACAAGAACAGGCATATAGACCAGTGGAACAGAACTGAAAACCCAGAAATGGACCCAAGGCAATATGCTCAATTAATATTTGACAAAGGTGGAAAGAGCATACAGTGGAGTCAAGACAGCCTCTTTAATAAATGGTGTTGGGAAAATTGGACAGCTACATGCAAAAAAAATGAAACTAGACCATCAACTTACACCATACACAAAAATAAACTCGAAATGGATAAAAGACTTAAATGTGACCCGTGAATCCATAAAAATTCTAAAAGAAAATGTAGGCAACAAAATTTCGGACATCATAAGGAGCAGAATTTTCACTGATACATCACCTAAGGCAACAGAAATAAAGGAGAAAATGAACACATGGGACTACATCAAACTCAAAAGCTTCTGCACAGCAAAAGAAACAATCATCAAAATGGAAAGGCAACCCACTGTATGGGAGAACATCATTGCCAATGATGTATCAGATAAGGGGTTAATCTCCAATATATATAGAGTGCTCATACAAGTCCACAAACGGAAGACAAAGAACCCAATTAAAAAATGGGCAGAGGAGCTGAATAGACACCTCTCCAAACAGGACATACAAATGGCCAAAAGACATATGAAGAAATGCTCAACATCACTAATCATCAGAGAGATGCAAATTAAAACAACAATGAGGTATCACCTCACACCTGTCAGAATGGCCGCCATCAACAAATCATCAAACAACAAGTGTTGACGAGGGTGTGGAGAAAAGGGAACTCTAATACACTGCTGGTGGGAATGCAGACTGGTGCAGCCGCTATGGAAAACAATATGGTGCTATCTCGAAAAATTAAAAATTGAACTTCCATTTGACCCAGTGATCCCACTGCTGGAAATATACCCTAAGAAGCCTGAAACACCAATCAGGAAGAATATATGTACCCCCATGTTCATAGCAGCACTATTTACAATAGCTAAGATCTGGAAACAGCCCAAGTGTCCACCAGTAGACGAATGGATAAAAAAGCTGTGGTACATATACACAATGGAGTACTATGCAGCGGTAAGAAAGAAAGATCTCTTATCCTTTGATACGACATGGAGGGTCCTGGAAAGTATTATCCTAAATGAAAGAAGCCAAGCAGAAAAAGATAAATATCACATGATCTCACTTATATACGGAATATAATGAACATAACAGTCTGAGGAATACAGTAGACCCAGACACATGGAATTAGGGCACAGACTGACATCCCTCAGAAGAGGGGATGGGGGGGTGGGGAGGTGGGAAGAGATAAACCGCAGAACTTATATGCATGTATGCATGACCAATGGACATGGATAACTAAGCCGGGGATGGGGTGGAGGTGGGATGGGGTGGGGGGTGCCAATGGGGTAAAAAGTTAAAATATCTGTAACAAAAAAAATAAATAAAAATTCATATAAAAAAAATGACCACTAATATGGGACAAATACCCTAGAAACCCAAAGGAGAACTGCAATAGACCACAAATAGAGACACTTGTTTCATGAGGGGGACTGGGTGAGGGTAGTGTGTCACATAAGATTTTGCTCCTTCTCAGAGGAGGAAGTAGATTTTGGGGTGACCCCTAAGATGGGATATCTGTCTTCATATGTAAGAGCTCAGATTCCAGAGATTTTCCAGAGAGGGATGATGAATAGGGCAACCAGACCAAGCAATTCCTTCACTTGTTTTCTCTCTACCATTTTTCTCACTGTCTTAAATTTGGAAAAATGATGACATATATCACTGCTCTAAAATTGAAGGAGGTCCTTCATCATTTCTGAAACGTGGTCAGTTATAGCCCACATTTTAAACCAGAAAGGAAAAGTAAGGCAAGTCTTTTACCCTCTTTGGATCCTAATGATAACAATAATTATGATGATAATAATCATGATCATGGTAACTGTAATAGCTCACATTTACTGAGTGTTTCCCATATGTTTGATGC